ATAAATAAAACATTAAAAAAATTTAAATAAATAAAAAATGTGATATTAGCACTAGAAAGGAACAGACTATTGATACATGTAACAATATGGATGAACTTCAAAACATTATGCCAAATACTGGGTGTTGCATATGATGAACCACTAAACTCTACACCTGAAACTAATATTACACTGTATGTTAACAAACTGGAATTTAAATAAAAACTTGAAAAAGAAAAAAAAAACATTATGCCAAATAAATGAAACCAGATACAGGAAAAGTATATATAGTACTCTTATATAGTACATATAATTTATTATGCCATTTATATAAAATTCTAGACCATTCAAAATTAGTATACAGTATGGAAAATTTTATAATTACTTTACCACAGTAAAATAATGAAAAAGAAAACAATCTACAGTAAAAGAAAGCAAACAAGTAATGTCCTAGGACCTGGAGTTGACTGCAAAAGGGCACAAGGAAACTTTTTGGGGTGACAGAAATGTTCTATAGCTTCATTATGGGAGTGATTACATCGATGCATATACTTGTCAAAATTCATCAAAGAGCACACCTAAATAAAATAGATGCATTTTTAATGTAAATTATACTTTGGTACAATTTATTTAAAAAGTAAAAATATATACACATAAAAAACTTTCCTTACAAAGACAGGAGGAAAAGAAAGTCTGGGAAACAAAGAATATGAATCTCCAGGTATAAGCACATTGAAAAGTAGGTCTTCATTTCAGTCTTCATTATGAAAGTCCTATTGTGATATCAGTGTATTAATTTAATATTGCTTTACAATAATCTTAGATTTTACATTGAAAAGTAGGTCTCCATTTCAGTCTTCATTATGAAAGTCCTATTGTGATGTCAGTGTATTAATTTAATATTGCTTTACAATAATCTTAGATTTTATTGCTTTACAATAATTCTTAGATTGTGCTTTACACAATCTTAGAAATTTAAAACAATACAAATTTATTTGTCTCACAGTTTCCGTGAGTCAGGAGTCTGGGCTAAAAAATAAACCTCAAGTCCTGTTCACCCAGTAAATTTCTAATGAAAGGGCCATGTCCCTAAATTCTTTTTCCAAAATAATGAAAAGATTATTTTCTAAAAGGGCATCTGTAACTATTATTTGTTTATCTTAGAAGTAGTATTTTAGGGGCGCCTGGGTGGCGCAGTCGGTTAAGCGTCCGACTTCAGCCAGGTCACGATCTCGCGGTCCGTGAGTTCGAGCCCCGTGTCAGGCTCTGGGCTGATGGCTCGGAGCCTGGAGCCTGTTTCCGATTCTGTGTCTCCCTCTCTCTCTGTCCCTCCCCCATGCATGCTCTGTCTCTCTCTGTCCCAAAAATGAATAAACGTTGAAAAAAAAAATTAAAAAACAATAATGAGTATTGAGCAGCTGAAAGAGCTTTTGTTTATATGGGTTATATCTATTGATATTTAATGACACATTTAAAAATTCATTTACTGACTCATTAAAAAGTAATAAGCTCATTGTATGTCAACGTACATAACATTTTAAAAAATAATTATATTATCCAAAAATATGAGAAGAGTAGCATTGTTTTATATTTTTGCAAATTTGCAAGTTTGCAAATTTTTTTTGTAATGTTTGGCTTCATAGAAGACAGCTAGATTCCCATACCTCTGGAAAACACCACTGTACATTCAACGAATAAATAAGAGTTACAATGGCAAATAAGGTCTTCCTGTTATCCTGCATATACTTTGACCTTGTGGGTGCCCTGAAAGGATCTTAAGGAACTCTGGGGATCTCCAGATCACGCTTTGAAAACTACTGAATTAAAGAATTGTCATAAGTTGAGGAAAGGAAGGCGTTTGAATCATTCCAAAAGTTTTTATTGAGTGCCTACTCTGTGCCAGGCACTGTTCAAAGTGAACTAGATAGATCAGGTCTTGTCCTCTGGGTGCTCAGTGTACAGTGACAGATCAGGGACCGCCTCAGTTGACGTTTGAGCTGAGACTTAAGTGACAGGGGGCAGACCATGCAGAAATCTGGGGAAAGAGAGTTCCAGGCAGGGAAAGGGAGCCCTGCCTCCCTGGAAGGTAGGCATTAGGAGAGGGTAGCAAAAGATCGGACAGGTGGGCGGGACCTGATCCGGCGGGGCCAGGTAAAGAATTAAGAGTTTTAAGTCTAAATTTCTTGACTGTAGCAAAATGGGGGAAGGCGGTGGAATGGCTTAAGGATGTGTGTTTGGAGGGTAGGAAAGTCAGTCAGAGGTCAAGCACACACTCCTGGGCCGGAGCCAGCTTGGTTTCTTTGAACCTCCCCCATCTCGCCTGGAGCCACAAATCCGCTTAGTGACGCGACAGGCCCGGGAAAGCGCGCACCCTACCTCAGGAAGCTTGACTCTCGGCGCCCGCCGTAGACGTCGTGACACAGGCGACCCGTTGCCTTGGAACCAGTGAGACGCCACTCGGCCTCCGCTGCTGCCGAGAGTGCCAGCGTTGGGCCTCGGTCACCATGTCGGTGCTGGACGCGCTTTGGGAGGACCGGGATGTCCGCTTCGACGTCTCCTCGCAGTGAGTCGCTCCCGGGGCCTGTAGAGGGCGCCGCAGCGAGGTTTCAGGAGGAGCCTGCGCCCCAACAGCTCACGGGCCTCGCGAGAGCGGGAGGAGGTTTGCGCCTGTGGTCCGCTCCCCGGGAGACCCCGGGTTGGCTCGGCCACTGCGGGAATGCATGTGAATTACAGTGGTTCAATCCAGTGCGGTCCGTGGCCGCGTCCTGACCCCGGGCACCTATCAGAAAGCTGAGCCCAAATACGTCCAGGACCATCCAGGGCTTGGGCGTCCGGTATACCCAAGTGAGCTTGGGGTGCCAGTTTCGTGTGGTGGAAGAACGTTCGGCAGGGACTCAGGAGCCCAGGGTTCTAAAACTAAGCCTGGAATATCGACACACATTGTGGGCCCTTAGACTTCACCGTTCTGAGCTTGAGCCTCTTCGTCTGTAAAACAAGGGAGGGGGGAATAAGCATTTTCCAAAATTCCTAACCACGCAAACTTTATTTCCATGATAAGTTTCCATCTTATTGTTCATTTAAATCACCAATAGGAAGAAGGAGCTACCTTTTGGAACCTCTCAACAGAAACCTTGGGTTTTTTTAAATTCCATGCCTTAAAGAGAAAATAGTATCTGCCTACCCAAAGTCCCCGGGGAAAATGCCCATTGGGATATTAACTGTTGGAAAACAGTAAAGCTAAGGTTCTTGGGTTAATGATATGAATGAAGCTTCTTAGCCACTTCTTATGATTCCTTATCATGAACAAAACCTTGGATAGCCAATGAAATATTAACTTCTAATTCTAACATGGTCTTAGATCCTTTAAGAACTTGTGAGGGAAGGGAATTTATAAAATTATAAACGACAGTTACATATTGCTCACATCCTATGACTTTATATTATTCTTGGAGGGTTCTTAATCCAAACAAAGGTCGATTTCATGAACATTTCCACTTTATTAAATATTTATCAAATACTTACTATGTGCTACTTACTGTGCTGATAGCTAAGGATAATGATACCCACACCCCCATTTTGGTGCAGGAGATACACATAGACAACTTTTTTTTTTTTTTTTTAACGTGGTAAGTGCCATCCTGAATACAGAATAATTCATTCTGCTTAGGGAAGACGTTAAAGAAGAAATAATATTTGAGTTCAGCCCTGAAGGTTGGGCAGGATCTTATCAGGTAGACAGAAAGAGAGTATTCCAGGGAAAAAAAAAAGAATAAAACATTAGGAGCAGAGTCTTGGAAGTACAAACGTCATTGGCTAGAAGGCAGAATTGGCAGGTAGAGGACGGAGGAACAATCAGAAAGGTAGAGTAGCCAGACTATAAAATGTTTAGCTGAGGATTTGGGACTTCATTTTCTAGGCAGTAGGATGATGTGGAAGATAGCAGGGAAGATATATGATCATGTTTGCATTTTCAATAGGTAATTAAGCCAGCGCTATGGAGAATGTGTTAGGCTGTACCACATACTCTGCTAGGTTTTTGTTTTTGAACACTCTAGATGCATTCTATTAGTTAGCAAACTTCACCCTATTTCCTTTTATTCCCTGTATCTAATTGTTTACCAAGTCCTAACGATGCTTTGCTTTAGCTTGTTCCTTCCATAACTGCCTGACCTCCTTTCCTCTACTCAGAAACCTCTGAAGGTTTTCCATCATCCACAGGACAAGGCTCATATCTATCCGACTAGCATTCAAAAGTAGTGGCATGCATTTTTCACTACCTCTTAACATAGATCTTCTCCAGCCAGATCGATCTTCCCACATTCCCTCATCATTTTTTTATTTCTGGTCTTTAATCATGGACTCTCTCCCTCTCTTATTTCTCCAAATCCTACCTCTCATTCTAGTTCTGACTTCTTTGCATGTCCCTGGTCACTCCAGGCCCCACTAGTCTCCAGGTTCTAGAAGTTCTTAAGACCTTATTTTCAAATGCACGAGTATCTGGTACTGTATCATTTATACTGTTGGCTGTTTTATCTGCATATGTCTCTTCTGTCTCTAACTAGATTGTAAGTGGGTATAGTTGTAGCTATAAAATTAAAGCCTTGATATTTATCTCAGACAAATGAAAACAAGACCTGGAGAAGCCCTTATTGATTGTTTAGATTCAATTGAAGACACCAAAGGAAATAATGGGGATAGAGGTGAGTATATTTCCTAATTTTTTTTATATTTCTGGTTTGATTTACAAATGATAAGTCATATCAGCTGGAGAATAAGATGTGAGACAGCATTATGTGTAGATATAATTGTGAAAGTGAAAGAGTTAAATCTACATAAGACTTTTGTCACACTTAAAGAGAAGAAAGAATAGGTATGAAACCTGCAGCCCGGGGAATACAGGTTCTTCCTCAGAACTTTGGTCCTTCAATAAATCCCAGTTTTGAAATCAGCTTTCTCCAACATAACTATTAAAACTCCAGGATTCCTGTCTGTAAGGAGCATGGGATAGTTCTGACTTTTGAATCTGCCTCCCCACAAAAAGAATAAGTATGTCATAGCTTTGCTATCTGGAGCCATGCTTCCTTTTAAGAACTCCAAGAGTAACTCACAATATCCCAAGACTGACACCTGGAGATGAACATATGGAGTACAAATTTAGGGCTGTATTGTGAAGTTTATTTGTAGGTTAAGCACTGAAGAATCATGTGAGATGTCTGAGGAGTAGCCAGAGTTGGACTCTAGAGTCCTTCCCACCCCAAATCAAATCCCAAAGGCTTGAACTTTGAAAAGTCCCAGGCTTCATATAGCCGTAATGGAGCCAAGTCCAGTGACCAGGTCTTATAAGTGTCACTACTGTTGTTTAAGAAAAAAAATAGGGGATGAGTAGGCAGCTTAGTATATCTGAAAAGGCTTTTTAGGGGAAAGGAGGTTTAAGAAGATGGGTCATAAACCTCTTATTCAAGAGAAGAGTAAGTGGGGGGGGGGGGATGAGCAGACCTCATTCAGGTAAGAAGGATCAGTAAATCCTAGAGAAGGAACAGTAACCCTTAGCAGAACAGATAAGGAGGAGCAGTAAATCCTAGAGACTGAACAGTAACCCTTATTGGCAGAACATGCTCACTGCAGCCTTTTTTTTTTTTTTTTAATTTTTAATGTTTATTTTTGAGAGACCGAGAGAGAGAGATCATGAGCAGGGGAGGGGCAGGGAGAGGGAGACACAGAATCCGAAGCAGACTCCAGGCTCTGAGCTGTCAGTACAGAGCCCGACACAGGGCTCGAACTCATGAGATCATGACCTGAGTCGAAATCGGACGCTTAACCGACTGAGCCACCCAGGCTCCCCAACACTGCAGCCTTTCAAGTGGCCACTTGCTCTTTGGGTCTTTCTTCTGGTCTGCTCTGGAGTGGTATGTGAACAGCAGGTTTAATTGTGGGCCTTTCTTCCCTGTGAAGGGAACCTGTCATAACCAGCAGCCTATAGGCACATCCTGTCAGTGGCAAGGGCCCATCCTTGAAAGACTGCTTAGATCACATTTATGAAATGCTTCCTAGTGTCAGCCAGGCCCAAGTGAGAGTGAGGTATGAAGATTTCGCAGCAAATAAGAAGTCTTAGTTTGTGCCTTTGAGGGTGGAATAATAATCTCTAGATGGCTAGATCCTGACAAACCTGAATTAACTTAAGGAAGCCCTGAGAAGGTTTAGTTGTTCTCATACAGACTGGCAGGAACTCTTATGTGACAGTCCATCTACCAGTCCAAACAAAGACTATGGGTAATAGACCATTTTTGAATTCATTGAGTGCTCATTAAGTATAGAATCATATACTAGCACTTCAGAGTAGAGAGGGCAAAACACCACCCTGCCAGAAGTCTCCATCATAGTGCCTGAAATCTTCCTATTAATAAAAATAACTGTATTTGTACACATCTCAGAAACAATTCCCCAGAAAATGGCATTTTACAGGAGTGTGCAGAGCTGCTGGTTAATGAGAAGGTAGAAAAAGAGAAGGGCATTCCTGTCTTCTAGCCATCTCCATCCATTCCTTCCCAGCAGTTTGAAAATGACCAAATTAAGGCATTACAAAGTTCAGGAGACTCATGTTAAAACTATAAATACCCCCGGGTGCCTGGGTGGCTCAGTCGGTTAGGTGTCTGACTTCAGCTCAGGTCATGATCTCACAGCTTGTGAGTTCAAGCCCTGCATTGGGCTCTGTGCTGAGAGCTCAGGCCCTGGAGCCTGCTTTGGATTCTGTGTCTCCCTCTCTCTCTGCCCCTCCCCTGCTTGTGCTCTGTCTCTCTCTCAAAAATAAATAAACGTTAAAAAAAAAAAACACACTAAACTATAAATACCCCAAAAGATTAGCACATTTATTTAATCCATTTCAACTGTAAGTAGCCTGACGTGAAATTATCAGATTAGCTTTGCACACTGAAGCTGTATGAGAATGAAACAGCCATATTTCAATGTTTGGGAGATTAGGAAGAACAGGGACAGTTATATTTTGGTGTTTGGGAAGGGGTTTTCAAAGAGGAAAGAGTATGACCTGGCTATAGATTACTCATCAAGAGAATTCTGTGGTTATAATTTGTTGAAGAAATATTGGGGTTAAACAAAGTTAAGGGAGTTTTATTCAGGATATCTCAAAACTATCCTAATATGCTAATTGCATTCTAAATCTGTAAGACACATAGTTTACCATGCTCAGATTTACTTGACTTTTTTTCCTCAGAGCATTTATAGAGATGACTATTTCATAAGACACACTTTGAGAAAGGAAGTTATCTAACTCTATATTTCAGTATAAGAATGTCAGTCTGAAGCTAGGAATGAAAAGCATAAAGCCTTAAGCAGACTTTAGCCTGGCCATAACTTCATATGAGCAAAAGAAATTTTGTTTATAGCAAAAAAAAAAAAAAAAAAAAAAAAAAAATGGGTATATAAGTGTGGCTTATATAAATGAGAACTGTTAAGAGAGTACTCCTGTGGCAGGGATTAGTGTATATATGAAAGTCCTTTGAGAAGGGTGATTTCACTGAATGAGTTTGTAATTATGCCATCCCATACTCATTCTCACTTGTACATTTTTGACCTGCTGGGACCTCCCAGAGCAACTTCCACCAAGACCCAATTCTCTCTTTTAATCTGAGTTAAACCAAGCTGTTGGCATTGGATACCTGTATCCCCTCTGTAACTGTCAGATTTTGTTTCTCTGGGATTCCAAATCATGCACTGTATACTTTATATAGGATAGATACGAACAATAAACACATTCAGTTGCTAAATGTATGAAAATATCTGTGAGGATTACTGCTGATACTGAGCCAGAAGTTCTACGTCTACCTCTTTCTGTGCTGCAAAAATGGGTCCTTATATAAGGTAACCTATTTTTGTTTGTTTGTTTGCTTGCTTTTAGGGAGACTCTTAGTAACAAATTTAAGAATTATCTGGCACTCTTTGGCATTACCCAGAGTCAATCTTTGTGAGTATTTTTGTTAGATGACATTAAAGAATAAAAATACTTTGTCAAGTGAACTTGCACAGTGGCTTTTGATACCAAAAAAGCTGTACCATGAAATATGTGGAAAACTTAAATTGATAAAAACTTGAGCAGCCCTGTATAGACTGTATAATTATGCAAAAGAAATGTTTTTCAGTCTGTCCATTTTGTCTCTTGGACATGAGATTAGTGCTTTTACACTGAATGGTTTCGCTTTTGTTTTTGTTCTTTACTTACCTTTGACAACTTGCTATGACCTGTTTAATCCCAAAAAAGAGGGATCTAAATTCTAAATTCTAATAAAAGTGCAACCTTCCATTGTGTTAAATTTCGTTTTACTTATTTTTTAAAACTATTTTAGATTATCCAGCGAGACTTTTTCTCTTGAGGTAGTGGTACTAAGCTGTTCAGTGAATAATACAATATAGGTTTTAGAGAGGCAAACTTCCTTTCTCCCATGCTGTGAACGTTGTTTGTGCAAAGAGGCAGAATTGATATTCTAGTTCTTTTAATTATTTAACTTAAATTTGTAGAAATGATTTAAAGTATTTTATATATATTTAATTTTTTTTTCTCTCGGTTGATTGTATCATGTTCTTGAAATTCTTTGCTTGAATTTTAGCTATCGGTTACAACTGCATATTGAACATTACAACAAGGACTGCTAACTCTGTAAGTCTGAACAATCTTATTGAAATGTATGTACTGAAAAAACATTAACTATTTTGAGGTTGGACTTTGTTTTCACTGTAAATGAGAGTTGCTCCTAAAGTCTGAACTTTTAAATAAATTTGTTCTTACAGAAATTACGAGGCCAAAGTGAAGCTCTTTATATACTAACAAAATGTAACAGTACTCGTTTTGAGTTTATATTTACAAATCTGGTTCCTGGAAGTCCTAGACTTTTTACTTCTGTGATTGCAGTACACAGGTATGGTAATACTTTATGGATTATTGAATAATTTTAAGGCAATTCTATGATATAGAGGTTTAGAGGATAAAGTTTATCTTCCTGCAAGCTCAAGAAATTACAGTATCCTGAGGATATATAGAAGAACATACTGCGTTATAATTTAATAAACACTTTTAAGTATTTATAAAATACATAAGACTACTGAAAATTCAAAAAAAAAAAAAATTCTACTGAAGGGGCGGCTCAGTCAGTTAAGCATCCAACTTCAGCTCAGGTCATGATCTTCCAGCTCATGGGTTCAAGCCCTGCATCAGGCTCTGTGCTGACAGCTCAGAGCCTGGAGCCTGCTTTAGAGTCCTCGTCTCTCTCTGTCTCTGCCCTTCCCTGCTTGCTTTCTCTCTCTCTCTCTCTCTCTCTCTCTCTCTCTCAAAAATAAATAAAATATTAAAAAAAGAAATTCTACTGAAGATCCTATTAAATTAGCTACCAAGGAAGTGACAGTGAAATAGAGAGTTCATTCAATTTAGATAACCAAGTTGGATAATTCAGTTAATGAATTAAAAAGATTGTTTTTCTAGCAGTAGAAGGCATTCTGGGTGTTTTCCCTAAAGAGTTTTATTGTTGTTTTTCTTGTGTGTGTGTGGTTGTTTTGGTTTTATTATTTGCTAAATTCTTTTCACTATGTTAACTCTTTTTAAAAAAATATTTTTTTTATGTTTATTTATTTTTGAGAGAGAGAGACAGAGAGACAGAGCACGAGCAGGGGAGGAGCAGAGAGAGAGGGAGACACAGGATCCAAAGCAGGCTCCAGGCTCCAAGCTGTCGGCACAGAGCCCAATGCGAGGCTAGAACCCACGAACCGTGAGATCATGACCTGAGCCAAAGTTGGACGCCTAACTGACTTAGCCACCCAGGCACCCTTCTTTTTTTTTTTCTTTCTTTTTTTTAATTCTATAAAGAAATGCAAGTTTACACTTTCTCATTTCTGAGCTATGTAGAAACAACATATGTGCACATAGATTTTCAGGTGTCACTCAACTTCGTTCTCATGTCATAGATTGCTTTACTGGAATATTTTTCTAGTAAATTATCACAAGTTCATTATTCAGCGCCACATGTTGTGCTTTGACTGATATCATTTCCTCCAAGTTAATCCGCAAAGAGTGGCAGTTTGCTAAGAAGCTGCAGAAAATCTGGAACGCTTCACAAATTTGCATGTCATCCTTGCACAGGGGCCATGTTCATCTTCTCTGTATCGTTCCAGTTTTAGTGTATGTGCTGCCAAAGCAAGCACTGTAGCTCCTTATTTTTAACCAGACCTAAGTGCTATGATTTTTTTAAATCTTGGCTAAGATGACAGGCAAAATATACATATACACATATTTATACACACACACAGAAATATATATACTATTGTTTTAATTTGCATTTCCTTATTACTAGTGATGTTGAAATTTTTTTGGCTATTTAGTTTTCTATTATAAATTTCTTAATTATGCTCTCATCTGTTACGTATATTGCAAATTTATTTCTTAATTTCCTAGTATATTATTTGATTTTGCATTTTGTTGATGATTTGTTTTAATATTTTTTTAACATTTATTTATTTATTTTTTTAAAAAAATTTTTAACGTTTATTTATTTTTGAGAGAGAAGCAAAACATGAATGAATGGGGGAGGTCAGAGAGGGAGCCACATAAATTTGAAAACAGGCTCAAGCTCTGAGCTGTCAACCCTGAACCCTAGCCGGGGCTGAATCACCGGACAACAAGATCGCGGCCTGAGCTGAAGTCCAGCCACGGCAACGACCCCAGGCCTGCCACCCAACCCCTAATTTTATTTATTTTTTTATGAGGGGAGAGGGCAGAAGAAAAAAGGGGGCAATCCAAAGCAGGCTCCACTCTGATAGCAGCAAGCCCGATATGGGCCTCGAACCCATGAACCATGAGATCACGACCTGAGCTGAAGTTGGACATTCAACCAACTGAGCCACCCAGGCTCCTCAATTTTTTAATCTACATAATGATTAGATTTTTACATAATTTAGATTTTTTGAGATATAATTCATATAGCATAAAATCTACCATTTTAAAGTTTACAGTTTGATAGTTTTAGTATTTCACAAGATTGTACAACCACCATCATTACCCAGTTCAGAATATTTCTATTACCCTAGAAAGAAACCCTTATAGCACTGTAGTCCGTATGTCACTCCCCATTCCTTTCTTCTCATAGCCCCTGTTTTACCACTGTAAAAACCACTGTTTTACTTCTGTCTCTATGGATTTGCCTATTTGAGACATTTAATATAAACGGACTTACAATATTGTGCCCTTTTATATCTGACATATTTAACTTATATAATGTTTTCAGCATTCATCCATATTGTAGCATGTATCAGGACTTCACTCCTTGTAACTAAATAGTATTACATTGTACGGATATATTTTGTTTACTCACAAATCATAGACATTTGGGTCTTTTCTACTTTTTAGCTATTTTAAATATTTTTCAAATTCTGTTGGACATATATGCCTAATTCCCAGTTCTGTTGGACATATACCTAAACCTTAGCTCTTTATTTCACTTTACTTAGAGATGTAATACGAAAAGGAGTTTGAAGGAAGCATAGAAACTGCTTTCTTCAATATTAAAAAATAAGAGTTCCCCCACAAATAACTCACAGCATAGTTTCAATTTTTTCCACTGGTTAAACATGGATGATTATAGCACTAAAGGAAATTAAGATTTATAGGCAAATGCTCAAATCCTCCTCTTTCACAATTTTTTAAATGTTTATTTATTTTTGAGAGAGCAAGGGTGAGCAGGGGAGGGGCAGAGAGAGAGGGGGCAGAGGATCCAAAATGGACTCTGCGCTGACAGCAGAGTTTGAGCATGTTTGTGGGGCACTCACTCACAAACCGTGAGATTGTGACCTGAGCCAAAGTTGGATGCTCATCCAACTGAGCCACCCAGGCACCCCTCCTCCTTCACGACTTATATGTTAGATTAATTAAAGTAAAAACCATAAGTTTGATAATGAGTATTATGATTTATGTCAATAACTTCTAAAGTTACTCAGGCTAAGAAAACCCTTTAGTTTTATTAAATGAGTAAATTAGCCTATAATTTTGTGGAGTAAAATTAGAAGTAACAATCAAATGTGATCCAAATAGGTATAATGAAACTAATCAAAACTAATAATAAATACAGATTTACAGAATAATTATATTACAGAAATACAGAAGAAAATTATTTATTAGTTATCAATAGGAAAGCATGGAGAAAAAAACAAAGGGATTTTATATATATATAAAACACACACACACTCGCACACAGATACACACTGTCCTGTGGTCCCTTTTGGAGTTGGTACACATTCATTCCAATTTTCTGTATGGAGGTGGATGTGATCATAATGTTCTCAGGTTGCAATGAGAAAAGTAATTGGACTCCTGTTTGTGTCCAAAGAATAATGGTGCCTTTGACTAAAACAGAGAAATGGAAGGAAGCATTTTGTTTGATAGGGAAAAGAATTTCCATGTCTATTATAGGTAAGCATTGTTTTTCAGCTTAGAGGGAAAATCTGTTTCCTTTCATTTGTGCTGTATGATATGTGCTGTCTTAAAAATTAGACATCTAAAAATAAACCTGTTTATTTTTAAAATAAATAAACATTTATAAATCCTATACCAAAATGATAAAGACTAAAAGACTGATCACCAAAACTTACTGAAAAGCAAATTTTTAAATTTATTATAATAATTACTTGAGTGATGTACATAAAGTATTAACAACTATATATTTTGGTAGGTAGGTAAACATAACTTAGGAAAACCACATTTTCAGGGTGGTTTAGTCTTTGTTTGTTCTTTTTTATAGAGCATATGAAACTTCTAAAATGTATCGTGATTTTAAACTGAGAAGTGCATTAATTCAAAACAAGCAACTAAGATTATTACCACAAGAACATGTATATGATAAAATCAATGGAGTATGGAATTTATCCAGTGATCAGGTATTGTGCAAAAAGCTAATGAACCTTTTGGGTCAGTGCTTTGTAATTACTTTTCCATTTATCATTGAGTTTGTATGTTCATTTAACTCTTAAAATAAGCATTACATCTGATAAGTTAGCATTAGCTCTCAATATAAAATAATATTCCGATTTTCATATTTTCATGGTTTTGTGCTCTTTTTAGTTTAGCAGCATTTGTTCTATGTAGAATTTACAGTTGGAGTAGACCTTGGAGATTATCTAGTTCAGTCTCCATTCACTTATAAATTAAAAACTCAGGCCCCCCAAATTAAATGACCTCACACATCTAGTTCGTCTGAGAGCTATCTTCTTCCCCCTATGCTGTACTACCCTCCAATTCTTGATAACTTATGCTGATGGAGGAGAGCCATGGGTGGACAGTCATGGAAGCCTTTTAATTTGGTCTTTATGGAATTAAACATATAACTCATTTGGTGATTCCTACATCTATTATTGTAACTTCTCATTTGCTCCTGCAGTTAAGACCAGTTGAAACATACAAGCAACAAATAGTTGGAATAAGTAACAAACCAATTTCTAGAGAAAAATTTGTCTCTTACTAAGAATAGTTTCCAGCCTTTGTGTGTGTTATAACCTAGATTAGACTGATAACCGCTGGATTAAAGCTATAGCATTTGAAGGAAAAGCTTTTTGCTAAACATTGAATCATAAATTTAAATTACAATTAATTTCTAGTTTTAAACTCTGATAATGGTTCTATAGTATATAGACAGCTTTCCATCTGAATAACTACTCATCAGGAATCAGCAAACTTTTTACTCTGAAGGGCCAGATGGTAAATATTTTAGGCTTTGCAGGACATACTGTTTCTGTCATAACTTCTCAGACTTGCCATTGTACTAGGAAACCAGCCATAGGCAACTTGTAAACAAGTGAGCATGGCTGTGTTTCAATAAAACTTTATTATGGACACTGAAATTTGAATTTCATACAGTATCCATGTGTCATGAATTATTGTTTTGACTTTTTTCCAGCCATTTAAAAATGTAAAAATTATTCTTGGCTTCTAGGCCATACAAAATGAAGCAGCAAGACAGATTTGTCCCACAGACTGTAGTTTACAAACCCCTGCTTTAGGTAATAGCTTAGATGTCACTTTCTGAAACCTTCCTTTTGTGTTGCCTATGCAGTCTGTACTTAATTGCCACCTCAAATTATTCCTGCTCTAAAATACAGAGCTTGTCTATACCCTCACATTAGATTGTAGGCTTTATAAAGTAGGGGTGGAATTACTCTGTTCAGTTAGATCCTTACCATCTAGCACCACACCTGGCATTTTAAATTAATTAATTAAGATGTTCAGGATTATCAGAAATATTTTATTGAAAATATGGATGTTATTGTAACCTAACTTATGTTTATTGAAAAATAATAAAATAAAATAAAATATGCCCTCCTATTCTTTTAAAAAATCCTTAGGAATTTTGCAAGTTGTTCTGTTCTTCTAAAATGAGAGGAAAGATTGACATAAATAATTACTCCTTCTAAACTCAGACTTAGTATTGTTTAATGGGATGTGCACCAGGAGTAAGGAGGCTGAAATTTTTTGTATAACAATTTCTTGCAAAATGAGAGTGGATGAGGGAAATATATATACTTATATATATGTTTATTAACAATGATAATTGAGAAATAAGTGGTCTTTTTTTAAAATTAATTTATTTATTTTGAGAGAGACAGAGACAGTGTGTGTGGGAGGAGGGGCAGAGGGAGAGGGATAGAGAGAATCCCAAGCAGGCTCTGTGATGCCAGAGCAGATCCTGATGCAGAGCTCGAACCCATGAAGTGGTGAGATCACGACCTGAGCCGAAACCAAGAGTCAGACATTCGACCAAATGAGCCACCCAGGTGTCCCAATAAGTGGCCTTTTCTGATGTTTCAAACCTGCTTATCCCAGAAGAGGGCTTTTTAGATTTTGTATTTGTGAGTTAATGTTTTATGCCCAACCTCAAAGTATAAAATAAATTCCTCTGGGAGTATATGGTGGAGAGAAGGTAAAGGTAAAGGTGGATAATGATATAGATAAATGGAAGAGGCAGCTAATTTTGGTGCCATGCTATTAGGTATTAAAGATTTTTTTAGCTATCGTCCTGAAGTAATTTTGTTGAAGGGCCATGTAATTGGAAAACAGTTTGATTTATAGTTAGCATTGAAGGGCTATAAAATAACTCTTATGGACTAATGGGGGTTATCACATGTGTTTTGTCTCTCTTACCACAGTTCCCTTGTCTTAACTTACTCCAGGTTTTGAACAACAGTCCTAATAAGATGTAACACTTGTAGAATGCTTACTATGTGCTATACATTGTGATAAGGACTTTATAGGGGTTATTTAATCAAATCTCCATTTTACATTTGATACAATGCACCAAGAACAAATCTGCCCGTGCTCAGGCAACTGGTAGGTGCTGATGGCATAATGATTAGAGCCTAACTCCAGAATCCAGGCTTTCAGTCATCTGGTTGTACTTCGATTCAGTGAATAATGAAGTCATTAATACTCCATGATACTCAATTCTGGTATTCTCTCCTACTGATAATCAGAATTACTCTGGTGTTTAGAAAATAAAGAATAAGTATTCAAACAAATGATCATTGATGTATCTCTCATCTTTCACAGGGAAATTTAGGAACCTTTTTTATTACCAATGTGAGAATTGTGTGGCATGCAAATATGAATGACAGTTTTAACGTCAGCATACCATATCTGCAAATTGTAAGTGCATGCATTTTGGTGACCTTGTTTTAATGTAGATTGTTTCTGTTCAGTAGTTAATGGAACTTTCAGGATTAGATGAATTCTATCTCCCTCTTTTTTTCCCCCCCAAGTTTATTTATTTTGAGAGAAAGAGAGAGTGCACAGAGGAGGGGCAGAGAGAGAGGGAAAGAGAGAGAATCCCAAGCAGGCTCCACACTATCAGTGCAGAACCTGACGTGGGGCTCGAACCGTGAGATCATGACCTGAGCCTAAACCAAGAGTCAAGGGCTTTAACCAACTGAGCCGCCCAGGTGCCCCTCTATCTCCCTCTTTTTAAGTGGCAACAGTGTAGCTAAGAGCAGACTTTTAAAATGTTGAGAATTTACAATTTCAGCATAGAAAAGACGCAACAATACTTACATTCAAGGGAAACCCCAGCGTTATCAACTTGCTATTAAAAGAGATATATGCAGGATTTTCAAATTTTTAGTAGTTACCATACAGATTAAGATGTGTCTTTCTTTCTTTCTTTTTTTTTTTTTAAGATGTGTCTTTCTTAGGTTCCAGTCAGAGAGTGTTAGCTACTAAAGTTCTCCATAACCTTTTCATGAGGTAGATGTATAGTGGTTCTTTGCAAGTCTTAAGCATACTGCTCCACATACTTTGTTTTGGCTCTCTTCACACTTTCTGCTTTTAAAGGCAGAATGAAGTCTTTAATTCTGTGAATGAACTGTTTTCACTGTTTACAGAAACAGCATTAATACAAGCTAGATTCATACTACAGGTTTGGTGAAAGGAATCAAGATGGTTTTTAGTGATAATGATTTTAGCTTAAGTTCAATTAAAGCTGTTAAAATCCAGAATAAGAACTAACTACATCTGAGACCAGTCATTTTGAGAGTAAAGGCGGTTCTTTTTATATCTTCTGCTAAGTATGTGATTCAGTGAAACAGATAGTAAATTCCAATAAACTGAAGAATTTCATTTACATAAGGAAATTACGTATAGGACTCTAGTGCAAATTAGATGGAACGTAAAAATAGTTAATGAAAATCCTGTGTGATTTGCCTATGGTAATCACCCTTATTGTGGGATATAAAAAGTCTTAAGACTAGGCAGTTTCATTAACAACTATTTATTGAATAGACACAATGTATGTGATATCTGGAAAATGTCATTTTTTAAGACTTCTGAGTTTACAAGGATGGTTCCCAAGCCTATCTTTTGCCAAATCATTTGATTTCTGAGTTACTTTAAAATATCTGATTGTTAATGTGACAAATATTTAGCACCTACTCTGTGCTAGGTGCTAGAGAGATAGTCGTGAACACCATGAAGCAGCACACAGTTCCTGCCTTCAAAGAGTTGTCAGTCTGGTGGAGAAAACCAACACATTAAACAGAAAATCGTAAAAACTGATAGGAAGAAAATGATTTCTAGCCATCTAAAGATGTATAAGAATTTAATAACCATGGCTGGGAAGATATGACAGAATCTGCATAGGTATTTGATAAACTGGTGTTTGTATTGTTGATGGCTGTTTTATATGCGTTTATATATGTTCTAGCTTGCCTGACCTAATCTGTATTATACTAAAAAATTACTGAGTAGTAAACAACCTTGTGCTTTTTGTTCTTCAAATACGATAGTTTTTGTTATTTAAGAATACAGTTACCAAAAATGGCCTTTGGAATGAATTCAGCCTGGTCCAAACAACTTGCAATCTGATATCATCACACTCTGTCACTAGGACAGTCATATCCATGTGACTTTTAAAAACTAACCCAGCCTTAAAAACCACAAAAGATGCTGGCTCTCCAGTACTAAAAGGTTGCTGGCCTTTGGTTTCAAATACTCAGAAAAGTTGTGGACTCCCTGATTGTGGGGGGTGGGTGGGGATATTTGAATCAGATAATTTTGTGCACATTTCAGAGATTTCCTCTTTTGATTACCTAACAAGTTTGCTGCCTGTTTCTAGTATGAACATTTTCATTTTACTTGATCTCAGTGGGAGTGTAATGCAGGAAAGAGGGAGAATTCTGTTCTTTAGATTATGAAAAGTGGTTACTGTGTAGAAGTTGAAAAACTTGTGTTAAAGAATCACTACTATCAGATAGTAAAAACGTGCATTTTGTTTTTCATTTTACATCTAGCGTTCAATAAAGATTAGAGATTCAAAATTTGGTTTAGCTCTTGTCATAGAAAGCTCTCAGCAGGTAAGATATTTTCTATTTGTATTACTCTTTAATAGATTTTTTAAACTATATGACTGTCTATATTTTTAGTTTTATTTCTATAGTAACCGGTTTACATCCAAGAAGAATATTAGCTATAACAGGAAGTTATATGAAAAGTTTAAAATCATGCAGTAATTGTCCACATAGGAAGAACCTTGCTTATGTTTGTTTCTTTGTTGGGCAGACATAACCATTATCATCATTATGATTATCATTTTTTTATGTTTATTTATTTATTTTGAGAGAGAGTGTGTGTGGGAGGGGCAGAGAGAGGGGGAGAGAGAGAACCCCAAGCAGGCTCTGAGCTGTCAGCATTGAGCCCAACACAGAGCTCCATCTCGCAAACCGTGAGATCATGACCTGAGCCAAAATCAAGAGTTGGACCCTCAACTGACTGAGCCACCCAGGTGCCCCATGATTATCATTCTTAATGACAGAGTTAAGTCACTGTACTTTTCATGTATTATCTCAGTCTCTACCCTATGATACAGTTACTATTTTTTTCCCCATTTTACACTCAAGGAATCCGAGGCTTAGAGAAGTTAGGAACCTTGCCCATAGTCTCACAACTAGTAAGTGGTGGGATAGATTTTGATTCAGGTCTGACTGATTCACAAGAGTGTCCTTGGGAAACACAGATATATACAAATAGACACACACATGCACCCTGAGATTATACGGTATCTAATTATAATTGCTGTGTCCCATTAGGCCAGTTCTTTGCAGAAATACATTTAAATAAAACATTTACTTGTAAAATCACAGCTCTTCTAAATTCGAAGTTTGAATATGAATGTCTACTCACTCCTTCCCCTTGGCCTGCAGATTAGTAGCTTCCATTTACTGAGTGCTTGCTATGTTCCAGGAACTGTATCAAATGTCATGTGTACATTATTTTATTTAATACAATTAGATAACTGTTTTATGGTTAGAAAGCTGAGGCTTAAAAGATTAAGGAAAATATGTTTCCCAGCATCAGATAGTAAATTTGTTGTAAAACACAGAATTTGAACCCAAAAGTATATGCTCTCACCTTTCACAGAATGCTACTTAATTGTTTTTTAAGATTTTTTTTAAAAGTAATCCCTACACCCCATTTGGGGCTTGAACCAACCCCAAGATCAAGAGTCACATGCTCCTCTGACTGAGCCAGCCAGTCACCACCCCCCGCCCCCCACCACTACTTAATTTTTTAACACTCTTCAACAACAATCTGTCGTGATCAGGTTCCTTTCCTAATTCTTCAAGGAGAGAGCCTCAGCTAGGCCATTCCCTTTCTTCTTTTAATACGGTTTATTGCTTTTCAAGGTCTAGCTCAAGAAAAGCTTAGTTCCCTTGGCCATCATAATATACAGTGTATTTTTTTTTAATCTTAAAATATCATCTTTGATATTTATAGATGAAATGATGTGATATCGGGCTATGCTTCAGAATAATCCTGAGGGGTGAGAGGAGGAGATTTGGGGGAGAGGGAGGTTAAATATGGAACAGAGTTGGCCACACATTGCTACTTGTCAAAACTAGAGATGGCTACATACGTGCTTATTGTACTCTTTCTTCTATCTTTGTATGTGCTTTCAATTTTTCATTACAAAAATTTTAAATGAAAAAATCAGCTTACCTATGGTGCTCTGAAATAAAGACTAGAATTATGGTTTATCATATACTGTGATTACCATTCCCAGGCTTGTTTTTTCTTTTTTTTTTTTTTTTCTTTTCTTTTCTTTTCTTTTCTTTTTTTTTTTTTTTGTACAGAGTGGAGGATATGTTCTTGGCTTTAAAATAGATCCTGTGGAAAAACTACAAGAATCAGTTAAGGAAATCAATTCACTTCACAAAGTCTATTCTGCCAGTCCTATATTTGGAGTGGATTATGAGATGGAAGAAAAGGTAATTAGTTCAGTATGTAAAATACAGAGTATGCTGAATTGCTTTTACACATCTATAAAATTCAGACATAAATACATGTGTACAATTTAATTTTGAACTTTGTTTAAAACGATGAATGTACAGACTGCTCAGTGAGCATGACCCCCTCAGCCATCACAAATTTGCAGCTATCCACCTGTCTGTCCACTGGCTGCTCCGTCGTCATTCCTGCCCTTCTAGGTGAGAGGTTTATTCAGAGAAGCGTCCATGTGCAAGGCTTCTATGATGTGGAAAGACTTCAGTCTCTCACGCTGTTTGGTTTTTATTCCACTTCTACCTCCCCTTAGCATTTGGGCAAACCTTACAGGCCTTACAGATACAATGCTTTTCTCACAGAGCCCCACCATATAGCAACTCCAGGAGTCTACTCCATCAATAGGGCCAGGTCCGTTCCCTATTCATCAGTGCCTCTGACATACCAGTTAGGAAGTATTTTGAGTATCCTGTCCAAATGTCTGCTCTTTGCTTTCTGTATGATTTCTGGCTTTTGCCCCCAAACCCACCCTGCTCTCCAGGTACATGAACTCTCCTTTGGCTTTATTCTTCAGCCTCTCCAACTAGGACCCTTGTCATCTGGTCTGTCACTGGTGTCCTCACCAGCCACTACATCGGAGATGTCCTCACTGTCTGCTCTGTCAGTGGGACCCTTGCCAGAGGTTCTGTCTCTGGTGCCCTCACTGACTAGTCTTCTCACAGGTGTCCTTGCTATCTGTTATTTTGCTCAGGCCCTCACCGTACACTGTTACTGGTGCCCTTGCCACCCACTGTCAGTAGTGTCCCTGCTGGCACTCAGCATGTTGAGCCATATCACAAAGCATATACATTACCTGTCTCTTCTGCTCTTGGACTACAGTGCGTGAGCAGAGAAGATCAAGTAGGGCCGGACAGCTAAGTTCAAATCCACACCCTCCGACTTCAGCCAGGCCTTTGTTGCCTGGTAGCACTCCTTGCACGCAGTTTTTTTCTCTCCCTATAGTACTCCGTATATAGCCCCCTCCCTTCCAGCTGAAACTTCTCTGTGGGTTGCTGACTGCATTATACATACGTTCATGTATTTCATCTCCTTAACCATCATTTTCTGTTTTCCTCCCACTCTGCCCTTCCTTCGGCATTCTCCCTTTCACTCGGCCTTCTCCGTACATTGCTCAGCAATGTCAGCCGTCCTCCAGTTCCGTCCACGTACACTGCTGTACACGACTCTCACATCTTTTGTTCCGACCTCGACACGTTCTCTCATCTTGCCAAGCCTCCAAATATTTATGAAGATATTCACATACATGAGTGTTCCAAATAACATAAATTGAATTTCTCATTTAAAAGTTTATCTGAGTAATTTAAGTAAATAAATAATTTTCCAAGTCTCTAAGCTACCCTGGGACTTGATTGAATACCTCAAACTTGGCATACCTAAAATGCTATCATTTTTCTCAAAAGCACCACCCTACTGATGGACCTATTTGTTTATTTTTAGCATTAGTCAAAGTCAGCCGTGCTCAAAAGCTGAGATTTCCTTTTTTGTTTTTCTGATTGTCTTATTTCATGCATTCAGTCAATCATACAGCCTCCTCCCTTTTCCTATCCCTATCACACCACAATTACTGTTATGACTTTTCCTTCCAGAATAATGTTGTGGAACAAGCATGTTCCTTGGAACCTGGCAAACCTGACTTTAATCCCCATCTCACCATTTATTTGTGATTCTAGGCAAATTTGAAGTACAATTTTCTCATTATAAAATGAAGATAATCTCTCTCACAAAGTTATTGATCATGTCCATGAAATGCGTGGCATATGAGAGGCACTCAGTATGTTAATTCTCCTACAAATTCTCTGCTTTTAATTTCTTCTCTTTTCTTCTTTTTTGATCCGCAGTGCATAATAATAGCCAGCCATAATGACTCACTCTTATCATCTTGTGTTAAGCCCCTACTCAAAAGCCACCTCTTCAGGGAGGTCTTCCCTGACTACCATCTAAAACAGCAGCCTCCGTCATTTTTTTGTCCCTTATCCTTGCTTGCTGGCTTGCTTGCTTCTTTTATTTTTGGTACCACTCATCAGTCTTCATTGTAAGTAATCTCCATGCAGTCAGGGATTTTCATCTATTTTCTTTAACCACTGTATCTCCAGCAATCAGAACTAACACATAATAGGCTCTTAGTGAATATTCATAGATGCTGAATGGCTGCATTGAACACCTACTGTTCCAATTCACTGCTCTAAGAACTTTATATGCATCATTTCATTTAATCCTCCCAACAGTACTCTGAAGTATAGTATTATTATCCTTATCTCACAGTTAAGGAGATTGAGGCTTAGCTAGGTTAAGTCACTTATACACAGTTACACAACTGTGAATGTGTTTGAAACATTCAGGCTGTCCTCAAAGAATCAGGTCACTCTTGTCAAGTAATACACTTCTACCCTACACACCCCTCCCACCAATTACCTAGAGTATAGATAAAGTCTAAATTCTTTGGGCTGGTATTAAAGAATTTCAGTAGACACCAGTCTACATTTCCTACCTTATCTGCACAGCCACAGTATCTGGTTGTACAGCCTGTGTATTGCCCAACTATAAGAACCTGATAAATGTAGTGTGAATGATGCTCCTTTGAGGTTGCTCAATACAGTAGCCCTGCTAGCTTCTTCTGTCTCATGGGACTCTTATATTCTGACCATACTGGATTATTCATCATTCTTCAGCCACATCCTGTGGTTTCTCACCTTTGTTGATGCTGGTCCCCTCTGCCAGAAATACCCTTTCCCCTAACCCTACCTATGGAAGCCGTCTTCATCCCAAAAGGCCTACCTTATATGCCACTTTTTTCTTCATGAAAATTTCTGGGATTCACAAGCCAGAAGTCGTGCTGTCTATACACATTTTTATTATAATAGATAAACTGCATTTGTTACAGCTACTTTTCATTGGTTAAACCATATGATATTAATCTTTGACCATTTTTGACTAGTAAAAATGGCAATTTCATATGTTTCAACCTAGTATTTAATTATTTGTAATTGTGTTTTATCTGTTGCTCCCTTCCCACGAGATTACAGACCTTTTGTAAGGACAGGAACTTTTTACCCTTGGTAGTACTAGCATAGTGCCTAACACACCAAAGATACTAAAACATTTGAAAAATGAATATCAGTACCATATTTTATTTCGCTTTACCATTAGAATAGTCCGTGCAAATCATAGTTCTTTTACTTTTCACAAATTCTATTTAATGACCATTTCAGTTTTAAGGAAAATTGAAAATTTGCTGTTATCCGAACTTAGTTTTTTTTAAACCATGTGAAAGAAAATCAGATAAAGTCCAATGAGAGGTTTTTTCTTTAAGGATATCTCTAAGTATCATAATAAGTATGTGTAAATTTGCCATTTTAATATTTTTGATGATATTGACTTCATATTTAAAACCTTGATGTTTAACTGATTACTCAAGGTAATTTTAATAGAATATAAATTATCATGTACCTGGGTGGCTCAGTTGGTTAAGCCTCTGACTCTTGATTTCGGCTAAGATCATGATCTCACAGCACATGAGTTTGAGCCATGCTTAAGGCTGCTGGCAGTGCAGAGCTGCTTAGGATTTTCTGTCTTCCTCTTTCTTTGCCCCTCCCCTGCTCTCTCTCCTCTCTCTCTCTCTCTCTCTCTCTCTCTGTCTCACACACACACACACACACACACACACACACAAGTAAATAAACAGAATATAAACTATGCAGTGATTTTTCTAAGATTTGAGTAGTTTGCAACTGTTTTATCCTTTTACAAGTATTTACAATTCTCACAGCACATTTTACTAAAATTATTTGTTGAATTACTATTACCTCTTTGATGCATTTTAACATCTGCTGATTTTTAGCCACAGCCCCTTGAAGCTCTGACAGTTGAACAGATTCAAGATGATGTAGAAATAGACTCTGATGATCACACGGACGCTTTTGTGGTGAGCATGATGAAGACGAGCTACTGAAAATCTTATGATTTTTAAAATCTGAGTCATGTTTAATTAAGTAATGGCTTAAGTATGTAAAACACCATAGAACGTGAGACTTTTTGAGAGTTATCTTACATATGAATTGGAAAGCAATTTTTTCTTTAAGTTAGGAACTTGTTCTTTGAAATTGCCTTTAAGTTACCAAACTGGGAAATAGTTTGAGAACACAATTATTCGGAGGATTTCAGATCTGCAAAAGATTTTTCATACCTAAGAATAATAGAACACGCTAGTTAATTAAATTAATTTAAAAATCTATACTTTTCATAATTAGTCTTTATGAGATGGACTTCCCTTTGATTTATTGGCATATTACCTTAAAAAGGATATTTGAACAATGAACTTTTCTGTTGCAAATTTGTATTATTTAGCTTTCATAGCCAGAATAATAATAATGCTTTCTATATATGGTGGTGTATAAATCTGACTAGCATACCTCTCTGGGAACAAGTATTTTTAAACAAGTGTGAAATTCGTGTAAAATATTTAATTATAAACTACTACTACCTCAAATGTATGCATTAGCTGATACATTGAAGCACTGATTGCTTTGTTTTGTTTTGCCAGCATCTTCTTCTAAACCAAAAGTAGGGATAAAATTTTATAGCTTTTAAGTCATTCTTTTTATCTCCTTTCAGGTTAACAATGCTAATTATGTACTAATTACAAAGCACATTTTTTGGAGCTTAAAGCTTGTAGTCACTACTAATGATTGGCAAGTTAAATCTGCTGCTAGCATAGTAAAGATAGATGACAAGAGCATTAGACAGAATGAAACAGAATGTGAAATATATGTAGTTACACAGTTGTTTTATAAATGAATTACCTATTTCTTAGTCCACTCACCTATTACATGTTGAGTATGTGAAATATTATTTTCTTTGTCTTATAGGCTTATTTTGCTGATGGCAATAAGGTAAGGACATTTTACCTATAGTATATGAAAAAAAAACTTTCTGTATTCTAACATTTAGTATTCACAAAACTTATGTGAATCCTATTTTTTGTTTTTTTTTCCTCTTCCTTGCCCACCTTCTTCATTCCCATCTCATCCTCTTATCTCACAAAAAGCAACAAGATCGTGAACCTGTATTTTCAGAAGAACTGGGGCTTGCGATAGAGAAATTGAAGGATGGATTCACCCTACAGGGACTTTGGGAAGTGATGAGTTGATCTTGAGTTGAGCTGGATTTCTATTTAAAGATATCTCAAGATTAAAGATACTAGTCGCCTGCTATAAGGCATGGAATAGTTTTTACATTTACAGAAAAAGCTTTTAAGAAAGAGGGTTTTTTTTAATGATTAAGGAAAAACTCATTTATCTAAGATTTTATTGCCTCTCTTCTAAAAATTATATTTAAAATTGTAATCATCACATATCTGGTTTGTAAATATGTTTATTTTGTATCTAATGCTTGTAAATTATTAGTCTGCAGATATTAAAAGACTGTATCTTGTTGGGTTAATAAAGAACTTATGCAGCACCATTTAATGTTTTGAAAGCATTATTTAAAACAATAAGATTATTCTTATGGAGTTATCAAAATACTGCTTTTTTAATTTTAAAATCTGGTAAATGAATTATCAAAAAGCTCCAAATGTAAACCAACTCTAATATAAATTATGACTCTTAAACTTGTCATGTTTAGGTGACCATTTCTGTAAAACCTAAAAATTATAGCTAACTCTGAAGTATATCAACCCCTGTGTAATGTTTTGGGCACTATTTTATAAGTAATTTCAATATAGATTTGACAAGAATACATTTATTTAGTAAGGAAATAGTTTTAAATAGTTTGTAAATAAATAGTTCATTTATTGACTTTCTCCTTATTTGTACTCATTGAAACTTCTTTGAAGTTTTCAAAAATAGAGTATTCTCAGATTTCTTGGTTAGCTAAGATTTGGCAACTTCTCTGGCATCAGTGTTTTTTGCCGCTGCTTGGGTATAAAGAAACATTGTAAGGAACCTTTGTCAAATCATTGAAATCAGCAGAAGGAGCCCTCTTTCTCTAAAGAGAAAGGAGTGTTTTAGAAACATTAAAATGAGATGCAACGGTATGTACAACCATAAACACATAGTACAACCAAATGCTAACCTGAGTTTAATAAAAATCAGTGAACAAAAGCTATACATTGCTTTCTTTATCTAAAAAGGAAAAGATTTGTACATTTTTAAAGGATGGGGTTAGAATAAACAACCTATGTTAAGGGGAGAAAAGGTTGTTTGAAAAATTTATACAGGTCACAAAATGCTGCCAGGAATATATTTAAATAGTTTTTCAAGCAAAACAGACTTCATAATTGCTTACTAGTAAGGAATCTTAAATGTCATAGCATGGTGTTTGCATCTGACTCATTAATCTTTTCAAATGTTAGTTGTTACTTGTAGAGAGAAATGAGTCATTTATTGTTTAAACACGGGAGCAGCTGTTCATTTTTTCTAGTGTGTTAAAACCTTCACTGACATCTATAAATGGAAAAAAGAGTCAATGAGCTCTTCTTTCAGCTGTTGTTTTAGCAGCTGACAGTACCATTGACTTCACTGTGATGTAAAATAAAAGGAAAAATCTTTACTCATGGGTAGAAACCTTGAAGTTTAAAAATACAGAATTCACTGATCTGGGGGCATTTATTCATTCGACAAATATTTATGGAGCACACAAGGCCCTGGGGCTATAGCATTGAACAAAGCAAACCAAAAAAACTTCCTGTCTTCATGGAGCTTATATTCTTTTGAGCATTTTTATGAATACCATAATTTGAAATTATACAGTATTTCTAAGGCCCCACTGAGTTCGGAAACTGTGACAATATAATTTTATAATAAAATAGTTCATGAAGAGGTATACAATGTCATCTGCATATAAACAAAGGATCAGTTTTTTTTCAAATCATGACTTCTGCATTCCCTAATCAATATGGTGTTCTATTATAATCAAGAACTTAAATTACGATTTCAGTTATATATTCTTTTCTTTTTCCTTATATAGTCTTGTTTTCCAAATTATGCAGGTGATATATAGCACTTCTTCCTCAGTCTGCTGTAGTCTGTTGATAGCACTGTTTTCATGGAGTTATATCTGTATTTTAACTTTTTATTTAATAAAAGGTTATCTTCAACATTTAAAATCACAGAGTATCTTTAGTAAATCATATTATATTTGAGTTTTTTCTTTCCCTATTGTTGACTTTTAACTATTTCTATTTCTGTCTAAGCTTGATGATTCCTTTTAACCTTTTGCCTTTATTTTACTTGTCTTATTATTGTTTGCCACATCAGATCCTTTGTAGAGCAAGGCAGGGTATGAATAAATAATTTTATCATTTAATTCAATACAAATTAGGGTTTTTCCATTTAAGAATAAAGATAATTCGGAATGTCTTAGAAAACTAGCAATTTCTCTGTATTTATTATTTCAATTATGGTGGGGTATTATTGATGGTTTTTAAAAATAAAATTACAGTACATAAACAGAAGTTTTTAAGTTTCGTACTTCTAAAAGAAAATTGTAAATCCCACTGTTTTAAATAGAAAATAAAAATTCGTATGTAACACTTATTGGAAAAGGGATTTTGCTTATGAGTATTCAGATGAACTCACCTCATATTCTTGACCTTTGCATCATTAATTCAGACAGCCAAGGAGTTTGCCACTAGACCATTTTTAGCGGACTGACTCATTTTTTATGAGTCAGTTTTCTGTTAGTTCAATAAACATTTTCTTTCAACATGCCTTTATTGACATATGCTGTAATGCTTTATGTATTTTAAAGCTTTCTACTTCATTTAAATCCCCTGTTTCTTAGCTGTTTCCTTAGTGATTAAAAGTTCCAGTTGTTCCCTTCAATCTATAACAGCTGCAAGAACAACTCTTCTTTCCAAACCAGCTCTCCTAAATTCCCGTTGTTAGAGTGGGTATCTATATTTAGCTGGTGGGATTAAATTGCAAAGGCTTCAAGCTGGGCAAAGCACACTGATCTGCCTTTTTACAGCTAGACCTGTGTGCTGCGAGGAGCTAAGGCCTTCAGTGTCCCCTTCCTTACCCAGGTTACTCACAAAATGGATTCCCAGCGGGAACTCACAGAGGAACTGCGGCTTTACCAATCCACCCTTCTTCAGGATGGTCTAAAAGATCTCCTGGATGAAAAAAAATTCATCGATTGCACCCTAAAAGCAGGTGACAAAAGTCTTCCTTGCCACAGATTGATTTTGTCAGCTTGTAGTCCTTACTTCCGTGAGTATTTTTTATCTGAAATTGATGAGGGGAAAAAAAAGGAGGTAGTATTAGATAATGTGGATCCTGCTGTACTGGATTTAATCATCAAGTACCTGTACTCTGCCAGTATTGATCTCAACGATGGAAACGTGCAAGATATTTTTGCCTTGGCCAGCCGCTTTCAGATCCCCTCGGTGTTCACTGTCTGTGTTTCCTATCTTCAGAAAAGACTTGCTCCTGGTAACTGTCTAGCCATCTTAAGATTAGGACTTCTTCTTGACTGCCCGAGACTTGCTATCTCTGCCCGTGAATTTGTGTCTGATCGTTTTGTACAGATTTGTAAGGAAGAGGACTTTATGCAACTATCTCCGCAGGAACTGATCTCAGTCATTTCAAATGACAGTCTAAATGTGGAGAAGGAAGAAGCGGTATTTGAGGCGGTGATGAAATGGGTGCGAACAGACAAGGAAAACAGGGTCAAAAACCTTAGCGAAGTGTTTGATTGTATTCGTTTTCGCCTTATGACAGAAAAATATTTTAAAGATCACGTTGAGAAAGATGATATAATTAAAAGCAACCCAGAACTCCAGAAAAAAATCAAAGTTCTCAAAGATGCCTTTGCAGGCAAACTCCCAGAACCTAGCAAAAATGCAGAGAAGTCTGGGGCTGGGGAGGTGAACGGTGATGTTGGTGATGAAGATTTACTCCCTGGTTACCTGAATGACATTCCCAGGCATGGAATGTTTGTCAAAGACCTCATCCTCTTGGTGAATGACACAGCTGCCGTGGCTTATGATCCCACAGAAAATGAGTGCTACCTCACTGCACTGGCTGAGCAGATTCCCCGAAATCATTCTAGCATTGTTACCCAACAAAATCAGGTGTATGTGGTAGGAGGACTATATGTGGATGAAGAAAATAAAGATCAACCTCTACAGTCCTACTTCTTCCAGGTAAGAAGGGCTAGTTTTCTAAAAGTAGAGACGTAAAGGAAAGGCTGCTGTTTACTACCCAGTTACCTGATGTGTGAATCATTCAGGCTGCTTGCATTTTATTCTACTGGATGTCCTATGCAGTCCCTTGCACCTTTGCTACTTACAGAGCTGACAGAAGTACTTAGATCAGTTAACTTAATTGCTTGTTAATATTTAATAAAAGGTTTGGTGAAGAATGAGGTTCTAATTAATGTGTAAGTGATGACTCAGATTTTCTTTACACTCTTTTACCCACAGTGTTAAGTTTATAGCTGATGGTGACTATAATCCTTCAAAACTCAGTGTGTTAGTAAAACCTAAATTGAAACTTTTAACCCATTAAGTAGGTTAATGTATTTCTCTAAACCGTAGTACTTTCCACATTGCAAAAATTATAATTGGTCAGAATTTCAGCCTTTTTCAGGTTTTCTTGAACTGATTTGAAATTCTTAAGGGTGGTATTTTATCTGTTATTTATGTTTACTGCCTAAAATATAATTTTGTTGAAAATGAAGAGAACTTATATAACTTAATTTACACACTTTGGGTTACATTCTGGGAAAAACTACAAAGGTGTCACTAATTTGAATTCATCAATTATATTTAGAAATTTTTATTTACGATGATTTTTTATTTATGACAAGTGACCACATGTATTTGGATCAGAGTTGTACTTCAACATCATTCCAATTTAATCTGTTTTGTGAAACCACAGATGTGTCCAAGAAACCAAATACTCCCAACTAAACTCTTTATAGTTTGTTTGAAGTGAGTTTGTTTCATATTATTAACACATTATATTTTATCTGTTTATGAAGGAATCAGTGGCTTACCCTTTATCTTTAATAATGCCAATTTTTAAGCTACTTTGTAGCCTACAGCTAGCTCACATGAGTTTGTTTAGATCATAGCTACTCATGGCCTGAGGTTTATGGGCACTTGAACTGGAAAGGCCAAAGATAAGTGTAGAATGTCATACCACAGTCACTGTGTGCTCTCAGTGTGTGACATGCTGTGCCTTCACAAAATACTACCTTTAACCAGGTTTTCCTAATCTTGAAAAATGTAATATATATGTTAATCATTCTTAATTTTCAAAGTTCCATTGAAAAATGTTAACTATGAAATACAAAAATAAAACAGAAGCTATAATCCTAAGTGTTTGAATGCATGCCAGAAAATTTCCTAAGTTCTAATTTTAAAATCAGTGAAATTTCAGAAAAGCCAAATTGAATTTAAAAGGCAATCATTATATCTAGGAAGTAAAAAATGGCATAAAACACACATGGACACACAGGTATCTAGAAATCATAGATCAAGGAATACTTAACAGTATTATCTTTATTCTCTTCCATCCTGTTACTACTTTTTTTTTTTTTAATTTAAATCCAAGTTAGTTAACATATGGTGTAATAATGATTTCAGGAATAGAATTTAGTTATCACTTACATATAACACCCAGTGCTCATCCCAACAAGCTCATCCCCCCACCCCCACCCCTCCAGCGACCCTCAATTTGTTCTCTGTCTTTAAGAGTCTCTTATGGTTTGTCTCCCTCTCTGTTTTTATCTTATTTTTGCTTCCCTTCCCCAATGTTCATCTGTTTTGTTTCTTAAATTCCACATAAGAGTGAAATAATATGATATGTGTTTTTCTCTGACTGACTTATTTCACTTAGCATAATACACTTTAGTTTCATCTACGTTGTTGCAAATGGCAAAATTTCATTCTTTGTGATCACCGACTACTCTTACTTTTATGGGCACAACCTCTCATTTCTGGTTCAAGAAACCTGTTCAATGTTCTTTATAGCTACAAAAACAGTTACACAAAGTTGAAAAGGTCAACTCTCTGTCATTGCCCATGACTTGCTTCTCTTAAAAGGGACAAATAGTGCAACAAGATGCCACGATAAAAACACCTGACTGTAAGAAGGGTTATTTATGACTCACAAGAGAATATATGAGAATTTCATGTTTTATATTGTATTTTTCTGCTTGATCTCATCTGTTTAGACTGTATTAAGTTAGGAGTAGTATGATCTTTGATTGTGTACTATAAATAGATTGTGAGAATTTTTTACCTAAGAGAGGGTTGTTTGTTTTGTTTTGTTTTTCATAGAATTAAAAGATTCATCAAATCTTTGAACAGGATCCCATTTTATTTTATTTTTTTATTTTTTTTTTCAACGTTTATTTATTTTTGGGACAGAGAGAGACAGAGCATGAATGGGGGAGGGGCAGAGAGAGAGGGAGACACAGAATCGGAAACAGGCTCCAGGCTCCAAGCCATCAGCCCAGAGCCCGACGCGGGGCTCGAACTCACGGACCGCGAGATCGTGACCTGGCTGAAGTCGGACGCTTAACCGACTGCGCCACCCAGGCGCCCCCAGGATCCCATTTTAAAGTAATGTAGGTCCACACCCTGATTTTAAGGATGAGGAAACTGGAGCCAGACAGGTTAAATAGCTTGACAGATCATCTGTAAAAGAGCCTGGTAGACAGTACTGTTACATCTGCTGTACTAAGTGCCCTGATTAGGGAGAGGATGGTGATGTGGACAGTCCTGTACAGTGTGGGCAGTTAACTCTTTAGTCTGGGATCGTAATTGCTGTTCCCAGTTTTAAGAAACAGTGGATTTATATAGCTTGTTTTTGAATATCACTTAAAAGCTCTGTGCTTGACCAATTATTTAACCTTTCTGTGCCTCAGTTTTCTCGTCTGTAAAACAGAGATAATAAAAGTGGCAATCCTGGAGGACTGAATGAGATTACCCGTGTAAAGCGTTCCATACGCAGCCTGTCACAGAGTCCAAACTTTATAAATGTTGTCATTATTTCTACTATACTACACACCACTTTCTTGATGAAAGGACTTTTTTCCAAAAATGAAAAAATTAGCGATCACAACCTAGATGTTAAAATTTGTGATTGCAGACCTAACATTGCATATGTGAGGATTAAACTGCTCATTTTATCTAGTCTTAATTAGTACTTGCTTTAACCAAAGTTACGAGGTGAAATATACATAGGCTTCTACAGAGACCCTCCCTTGACCACAGCCCTTATTATCTGCACCTACTTTTGGTATCCAGTTATTCTGGGGTTTATTCCTTCTTCTGCTACACAGATGTAGCACTACAGAGAACAACAAATCTGTAACTGCACTCCTTCAAAAAGCAATTTTCTCATGCCTTCATGTCCTAATATGCAAAGTGGAAAAATGTAAACTTACCAATAGTAAGCGCTGAAACTGATACCTGCCACACCAGAATTACCTACCCGAGACCATGGGCACCTAGAGAGCTGTCTGAGGCTTGCAGAAGTAGCAGCAGCAAACACAAGCAAATTACTTCCTAATACAATTTTAAAAAAAAAGACAGAGGCGAGGGTTTTTCCAATGACTTCCAGCAAAAGGCTAGGAGGTTATAGCCAGAACCCTGCCTATGTCAGAAATAATAAAGCGAAACAGAGAGAAACCTACACAGTTTTGAAGAAAAGAAAAAAGATATTGCCTAACATCCCAGTTGTCTGTGGACTGAGCGACAGGTCCAGCTGTCCTGGCTTGGGGAGCATGTTAAATATAGCATTCGGGGGTCACTCACATACAACCCTCCCCACAGTCACAACTTCTCTTTCCCCAAGGAGCTAACAGTATTAGGATGCTTTTTTCGAACCTGAACAAGACAACATGGGAAGAAACTTTGACAAGAAACCTCACAGTTCTAACCAAACTCTAGTGACTCTGTTCTCTTCTTTTTCCAGATTTTGTTACTTTTAGCTATTTTGGTAAACCAAGCAGAATTTCTCATTTTTCTTGGTAATCCAGAGGTAAAATATGATACTTTTGGATTGCATTTTTATTTTACCTGCAGCATCTTTGACTATCTCAGTGTATTCTTTTTTTTTAATATATATATATTTTAAGTTTATTTATTTTGAGAGAGAGAGAGAACAAGCAGGGGAGGGACAGAGAGAGAGGCAGAGAGAGAATCCCAAGCAGGCTCCATGCTGTCAGCACAAAGCCCGATGCAGGGCTTGATTTCACGAACTGTGAGATAGTGACCTGAGCCAAAACCAAGAGTCAGATGCTTACCCAGCTGAGCCACCCAGGCGCCCCACTATCTCAGTGTATTGTAAACAACACATAGAATATAGCATATTTCTTGGAACGACTGTAACTGTTTTCTAACAAGCTGTACAATTCCTTATATATTTTTCTTTCAGCTTGATAACATAGCATCCGAGTGGGTTGGACTTCCACCTCTGCCATCAGCCAGGTGTCTCTTCGGTCTGGGAGAGGTAGATGACAAAATCTATGTAGTTGCAGGCAAAGACCTTCAAACAGAGGCTTCGCTGGATTCAGTATTATGCTATGATCCTGTGTAAGTTGCCATGACATTCCTGTTTCGTAAGCATTCAGGTATATGAATGCCCATTACATATTCATAGCTTTAGAACCTAGAATTAACTGAAAGCATAGAAAACGTGTTTCAAAGCATAGAAATTCTACCATCTTGTCATTTCAGGACTGCAAAATGGAATGAAGTTAAAAAACTGCCTATCAAAGTCTATGGCCATAGTGTGATTTCACATAAGGGGATGATATATTGTCTAGGAGGAAAGACAGATGACAAGTAAGTACCTAAAATCTCCTTATGGTTTACATCCAAATGATTTTCTTTAACATTTTTTTAAGTAAGCTCTACCCCCAACGTGGCACTTGAACTCACAAACCTGAGATCAAGAGTTGCATGCTTCACTGACTGAGCCAGCCAGGAGCCCCTCCAAATGATTTTGTTATTGCAAGAGTTCTTCCCTCCTTTCATCTGAATCTACATACTGAAATGAGACTTGGTTCTCACTTATAACATTTTGGAAGTGAAAGTTTCAAAATAAAATTTTGAAAAGCTATTGGAGGATATTATAAATGATTTCTGAAGGGAAACTGTATAAAAGTTAACAGTTGCTAAAGTATCAAAAAATAAATAAAACTTGTTAAAGTAAATGTGTAGATATTCAGCATATTGCTAGGAACTAGCATGATACCGCCCTCATAAGCATTCTTAAAGTTGAAAAGCAGCATTTAGGAGCATAATCAAGTCTTTTTCATTATATTTCACTACGTTAAAGCCAGTGGGCTTTCTTATTCTTTTGGCCACAACTAGATAAAAACTAAGTGTACCTCTTTAATGTTATATCTAAAATATAACTGCTAAACCAACAGTGCATTAAAATATCATGGATTTGTACTTTACCTTCATAAAAGAATTTAGATAGGTGAGTTTGAAACTGAGGAGCCTGGTGACAGAAAAGAAAGCAGTTATTTCCTAAACAATGTTTCACTGATTTACTCCTGGACAGAGTAAGAATATTTAAATATTTTGATAGTCAAAATATTTAACAACAACTGGTCACAAAGAGGCACTGATCAAACAGAACAGCTGCATCTGGTACACCCACTGCTGCCTAGTTTCTTGTGAGAAAAACAGGATGAAGGTTCATATAACTTGATTTCTAGGCACTTCTCAAGGGATAGGTAATTAGGAAAAGGATCTTGTTACTCAAAGGGAGAAGTGACTTCAGAGGGCTCCAAAAGTCAGTCGGTTAAGCCAGGAGCCTGTCTGGTAAAATGAAGATTTTCAGTTTAAATAGTGAGAACTAATGTCCTGCCTCTGAAAACTCTGCCTAATTTGGCTTGTCCTCATTTGCCCGAGCTGTTTAATAAATAGAGATAATCCTGGAAAGGGAACCAGAATTAAGAATTATAAGGGCAAAGCAGGAAAGGAGAGTAGAATATGGAAATGTGCTAGAAATAAAGAACTCTATATTCTGAGTTAACAATTAATGGTTATTATTAAATTAAAATGACAAATAGCACAGGAAATGTGATTTTAAAAAGCAATGGGAACCTAACAAGCGGAAAAAAAAAAAAAAAAAA